GGGAGTCCCTAACCATGGTGCATGATGGGAGATATAATCCTGCCTGGGAGACCTGCCCATAGAGATAGGGCATAGGAGGCACCCAAACTACAACTCCCATGAGACACTATAGGAGCATTTCCAAACAGACATATTTCAGTTTTCAGACAAAATATTTTAGGTTTTTGATATTAAAAAAAAAAAAAAAAAAGTCACGTGTTTTGTTTTTGTTTTAAAGTCAAAACCCCAATTTTTCCATCAGCCCTAGTGGAGATACTCCTACCCTGGAGATGTGTTAGTCCCTGGGGCCACCATATCGACCTCTGCACACACGGCTCACCTGTGGTTGTATCCTATTCGTTTGATCTGCTGATAGGGCAGTCCCAGGTTCAAGCCAATAGTTTGCCAGTCGGCTCCAATGCGCCCGGCGATGCCAAGCAGATTAGCTTGTGTCAGGTAGCCGGTCTCGGCATTCCCCAGGTTCAGAGGAGGGAAGGAGAAGCCGTTCTTGGGCTCTGAATGCTCACCCGAGCGGGATTTCAGTTTCTGTTTGATGGAAGAGAGAGTGACAGAAGTACTCCTGGCTGAAATGATTTCCTTTTAAAGGGGCAGTGCCAAGTCATTTAGTTGAACTTTACTTCCCCAAGGTGCAAAGAGGTAGATTTAACGTGGGCTCTAGGGACCCAGTTGGGAGAAGTGCTGACCACCCACTGTTTAATGGACTCCAGTGAGAGCTATGGGTGCTCAGCACCTCTGCCAATCTGTCCCGGAGCACCCACAATCACAGCCTGAAGCAGGAAATCCCTCCTTACCCTGTCTTTGGAGATTCACTTTTCATTACCAGTTGTTTCCGCAAGCATATGTCCCTCAGCGTTCAGAGAGCTCTTATTCTAGGCCCCAAACCGAGGCTGTGCATGTACCAGAAGTGGGACCGCAGTCCACAGCGCTTACTGTGGGGTAAGCCTTACGGTGATGTTCAAAGAAAGACAACAATATTTACTGGTTCGAGCCTGCTCAAGAGAAATAAAACTTGCCATGACCCAGCTTGGCCAGCCAGGTCCCTTTAAGGCACCCTTGGCTCGTTCCAGCACACTTCAACACAATGGTTTCATCAAAACGCCTTTGAGCTGCCATGCACTGGACAATCCACCTTCCCAACAATACCCATCACCAGGGTATTCATATGCAAGACAGAAACTGTGCTCAGTTCTAACCAGCTTCCTCCTCCTCGAGCGCCCTTGTTCACTCAGAGCAACAATCTGTCCTCTGAGACATTTCATCACATCCGTGCCAGCTCAGAACGGTGCAAAATGGAACAGGACAGGAAGGTGGATAAACTAGAGAGAGATGGGGAACATTTCCAGTTACACACTTCCTTGGGGAGGAGGGGAGCAATCTCTCAGTGGTGGGAAAGTGCCAATGGCTGTTTACAAGAGCTTTAGAAAGCTGGTGCAATTGTGCCTGGTCACCTTCAAGTGATCTCACCACCCTACTCCACACACTTAAGACACGTGAAAGCACATGTACAGCTATTCTCTCCTTCCCCCATACACTCACATGGCTGCATGCGCACACACTCCCCCTTTACAAAGGAAAAGAAATTCTTCATTTTCCATCGTGCAGTTTCTGACACCTCCGGCTGTAGTCCATCCCACTCTTTTCGGGGCTAAGTATGGGAGACTTCAGCTTAGCAGACAGACACAAATGTTTCCCCCATCCATGTTCGGCTTCCCCTTAGGTGACCAAGTAACTCACAGGCAGTTTGATTGGCAGAGTAGCCAGCCAGTGGGAGTCGGGCCCTTTCCTCTTCTTGGTGGCATCTTCAGGGACATTGTCTGGAACTTCGCCACGATAGAAGGAGACCTTCACAAGCAGGGGAGATCACAGAGTAAGACCTAGATGGCATTTCAATGGCCATGTCTATCTATGGGGCTTGTTTTCCATTTGGCAAGGATTATGTAGGACGTTTCCCACCCAGTCCCTACAGGAGACCACACAGTCCCCACTTGGAGTGCCATCTGCAGTTTGATTGAGTGGGTGCCATTGGCAATAATACAAGGATCCACCATAGAGTCCAGCCCCTTCTCCCTTACTGCTAACAGACCAAGGGTTAATGGCAGGCAGATAGCCCTGGGCACCAGCCTGGGTGATGGGTGACCGTTAGTATTCAAGCCACTCTCTCTCCTGTGGGCATATTTTACAGGTCAGTCTTTGGGTGAGGAAAAGCAGAAACTCGATTCACTGACATACTCAAGGCTGAGGCGCTGCGGCAAGGGCTGCCACAGGAAAGCCAATGACTGCAGAAAAAGAAAATGAGGCTCTTGGGCTGGTGAGCACTATCCCCAGAAACTCACCTGCCCTCTCACAGCTTGGCCTTTCCTGTCCACTTCAGCAGTCACATAGATTTCCTTCATGTTCTTCAAGTGGGAGTAAAAGATGAATGAGATCCGTCCGTCCACACAGTCTGGGCGGTCTTAGCGGAGCCAGGGAAAACCAATCAATCAATCAATCGATGCACAGAAAACCTTCCTGCTCCTAGGCAAGGGCTACATCAGCAGCTTCCCAGACCAAAACCCACTTCTCCCCATTTTCTGGCTCATCCCCTTCTGGGACAGGACTGCCACCCGTGACCGCAGAGGAAGCAGATCATGCAGGAGCAAAAGGAAACCAGCCACCGGAGGAAGAGGAGTTGCAAGGAGCGTGAAGGGGGGGTGAAGATGTTGAGGTTAAATATTGCATCTGTCCCCCCAGGAACGGGTCACTAATGAGCAGGGAGAACCAGCTGGAAAGTTACTCCTGTTTACACAAAATAAACCATCTGTCTTTTTTACATTTCCTTAATGGGGGGGAGGGATATATGCGTAGGAATAAAGGAAAAAATAATGCTGCATATGTTGCCTTAGGATTCCTATACTGTACCACCCTGCCAAATGCCCGTGACAAAGGGTAGGTGAGGGCTTCTGGTGCCCTGAGACTAGGCTACAGAGTCCTGTGTGAGTTAGTGGTAAAGGGTCCGATTTTGGAATCATCTACCCCAGGGCCAATCGAGAGTGACTCTATTGTCTTTGATGTGTCACAGTGGAATTACACTAGGGTATCAGAGATCAGGAGCGGGCTCAGAGTGCAGCTCTGATACCCCTTCCCACCTGGCTGCCCCAGGATACAGTCTTGTAGTTTTAGTCCCCCGTAAGTGGAGTTAGTGAGAGAGGGAGATAAAATGAGGACGGCCAGCAAGACAGATAGGCATTTCAACTCCACACAGGGAGTTCTCTGGGCTGGACTGTTCCAAGGATTTTCTCTCCATAGAAATGGCTTTGTATGTAGACTACATCAGAAATGGATTAAACTTGTTAGATCAGCTAGCGTGTGCTAGTATACAGGTCATATACACCGCTTACCTATGGAATAAATACACTGTACTAGACTGTAGCCCTCTGGGGCTTGTTGTGGTTTGCTATGAGGAGAGCAGAGTTCAGCATGGTCCTGGAAGCAGCACTGGAAGCAGTGATTCCCTAGGGAGAATTCACTACCAAAAGCATGTCCTGCAGTCCTCTCACTCTGTCTCCAGAGAGCAGAAGGACCGCTGCTTTGCCCATTGGTGGATCAGCACAGGCAGCAGTGCTAAGCTCCGTTTGCCAGACCAGCTAAGCGAATACAGAGTGGGAGGGAGCTGAAGGTGAAAGGGACGGAGGAAAGAAGGAGAGCAGATTGGACAAGAAGGCTCCGCCATACCAGCATTGATGTTGATGCCTCCCTCGAAGGCTGCAAAGAACTGCTCTCCCTCAAACAACTCCACAATGTCAGAGGGCTCCGGGCCCTGGTAGCGGTCATGAAGCTTTCCCAGAACAGGATCGACCTACCAGGGATGAAAGCGACATGGGTGTTTGTTTTGGCTTTGCACATTCACAGCTCCCACCTCACCCCCCGAAATGGGTCCAAGACATTTTTCTCTTGCACTTTCAATGGAAAGAGCTTATTTTTCAAAGAGAAAATTAAAAACAAAAAATCACCATTCCCCTAAAGGTCTAATCTGTCATTAAAAAAGTGAATGTAGCTAAGAATCACACGGCTCCCTTGGCATGCTTATAAAACACATGGCGTCCATGCACACAAGTATGCTCCACGGTTTGTGGTGGGGGAGAAACAACTATTTATGTTTGCCTTGCTGTCAGCAGGACTAAATACCGGCATGGTCTGAACTGTTCCAGCCCACGCTGGACTAGTGCCAGAGTGGATGGTACTGCCCAAGTCTAGCTGGCCCTCCTTTTCTTACACTAGCAGGGTGCTGAAGCATATCAGTTGTAACCTGGCTGGTCTAATTCCATTTTCAGCTCTGGGGAAGGAAGCAGAGTGTCTAAGCCAAATACAAGTTGGGCCAAACTTCTATTTAGCTCAGACTCTCTCGACTTTCTTCCCCAGACCTGAAGAAGAACTCTGTGTAGCTCAAATGCTTGTACCTTTCACCCACAGAAGTTGGTCCAATAAAGGATATT